TTGTGTGTCGTGGGGCAGGCGGGCGGTGTGTCGTGGGGGGGAGCGTTGTTTATACTCCGGTTTCTCTTCATATCGTATAAATCTTTCGCCTTTTACTAAAGATTTCCGTGGAGAGGAACAAGCACGAGTGTCGATGAATTTTTTGAGGCTCCATTTCGGTGGAGCTGCCCCTTTCTCTGGTTAAAAATAGAACGAATTCTTTTTGATGGCTTCGAGTGTTAGTGCGTTTGGGGCATATACCCAGTCCTTAGCTTCACTCCACAAACCGTTTCCTAAAGCAGCCCCCCGTGCTGACATTGGCTTCCCCACTCTCCAGCCATCCAGCTGCTGAAGGCTCTCCTGGCCCACCAGGTCCGGCCAGGCTGCTGAAGGACCTGGTTGCGTTACTGATGCCACCCGGAAAGAAAACACTGACCTTCTACGACGAGACCTTCCAGGGTAGAAGAGCTGACCACGGCCTCCCAGTACACAGCAGGCTGCAGCCTGCAGGGGCAACCAAGGGTGTTCTCCCGGGGGTGCTTCTTCCAGGGTCCCTCATCTCCTGCAGGGTTTAGCCATCGCCCTGACTGGTAGGGGAAGAGGTGCAGGGGCCTGTCCCCTGAGGCGAGGGGCAGGGGCAATGGCTTCCCCGGGCTGAGGCAGTGCTTGCCTGCAGCACTGGTGCCGGCGTGCAGCCCTCTAGAGACCCGCTGAGGTCTGTTGTCTGCTGGGCAAGGATGATGAACAGTCCCAGCGCCGGCGGTTTCCTCCCCGACTCAGCAGAGCGGGCAGCAGTGCCCCAGGCTCTCTGACCCGTGGGCATCACACACAGATGCGTACTGTGTATGTTACCTAGCCACAGGGTTTCCCTAAGGCGTGTTTCCTGTAAAACTACATCCTCCTTTCATGCTAGCACTGTAACGCCACCTCCCCTCGCTTCTAACATCTTAGAAGCGTTTCAAAGTATCATTCTCACCTTCCTAATGTTTCTCACGCAGACCCAGCCGCACTGTGCCTGAGGGAGCCTGTGCTGGTGTTTGTTCAGCAGGCAGCTGCTGCAAAAGCCATTGGGTAAGAAACTGGAGCAAAATCTACAGGAGTATAAAAAGGACTTTGGGTAGGGAAGGACTGGGACCTCTTCCAGGGAGCATTCACCTTGTCACCTCTGGCACTATTCTCTGGCTGAGTACCCCAGCCCTGCTAAGACTCGGGTCCTAGGCTGTTTAGAGATGGGGTGTGTTCAGGAATAGGGCAGAGCCGCTGGGTGGTGGGTTGGCCCTGCCTGGACACCACGTGCCCACCAAAGCCATTCTATCATTCCTCTCCTCATCTGGATGGGGAGAGAAAATATAATGAAAGGTTCATGGGTCAGGATAACTCACCAGTTACTGTCATGAGAAAAACAGACTCAACCTGGGGAAATCAGCTTAATTTATTACCAATCAAATCAGAGTAAGATAAAGAGAAATAAACCCAAATCTTAAAACACCTTCCCTCCCTCCACCCTTCTTATCTTCCCGAGTATAACTTTACTCCCAATTTCTCTACCTCTTCCCTGACAGCAGCACAGTGGGATGGGGATTGGGGGTTGCAGTCATTTCATCACCTGTTGTCTTTGCTGATCCTTCCTCCTCAGGGGCAGCATTCCTACACTCTTTCTCTGCTCCAGGGTAGGGTCCTTCCCATAAGAGACAGTTAGTTCTCCATGAACTTCTCCAATGTGTTTCCTTCTCATGGGCTGCAGTTTTTCATGAACTTCTCCAGCGTGGGTCCCTCCCACAGGGCGCAGTCCTTCAGGCACAGACTGCTCCAGCGTGGGTCTCCCACGGGGTCACCAGTCCTGCCAGCAAACCTGCTCCAGCGTGGGCTCCTCTCTCCATGGACCCACAGGTCCTGCCAGCAGCCTGCTCCAGCGTGGGCTTCCCACAGGGTCACAGTCTCCTTCAGGTGCCTCCACCTGCTCCAGCGTGGGGTCCTCCTCTGCTCCAGCATTAACCTCCCTGGGTCAGGGCACAGCTGCCTCCCCATGGGCTGCACCACGGGCTGCTGGGGAATCTCTGCTCTGGCGCCTGGAGCACCTCCTCCCCCTCCTTCCTCACTGACCTTGGTGTCTGCTGAGTTGTTTCTCTGACACATTCTCACTCCTCTCCCCGGCTGTAGTTGTCGTTGTGCTGTTTTTTCCCCCTTTCTTAAATATGTTATCCCAGAGACGCTGCCACCGTCACTGATGGGCTCAGCCATGGCCAGCGGTGGGTCCGTGTTGGAGCTGGCTGGCATGGGCTCCATCTGCCATGGGGGAAGCTTCTAATAGCTTCTCACAGAAGCTACCCCTGTAGCCCCCCCATCACCAAAACCTTGCCATGCAAACCCAATACACACCACCTGGAGGTAGCAGTTCTCAGACCCTCTCTGATACTGGAGCTGGCTTGAAGTGTTATTTGTAGGGAGATGTGGAATCACATCTGCTCTGGCCCTGTTTGCTGTCACAGTGACCCCTTTATGGCTCAGTTTATGTGTCCTGCCAGAGCACGGGGCTGAAGGGTGCTCTATTGCACAAGGCCACTGTGTTCTCCATGTAGCTGGGAACCAGTGAGCAGTGAAACACTGTTTAACATCAGCCACCCAATGGAAGAATCTAGTGCCTATGATTGACTGCAGAATCCTCAAGGAAATTCAGCCATTTGTGCTAAAATTGGTTAATTCGATGTGAATTTCCTGCAGTGTCCACAAGATAGTGCTATGAGAACACTTTTCCTGCAAAAGCAGATGACACAAAGCCCTTGGCGGTAGGGAGACATACTGGAGTGTCTTCCAGGGACATGCTCACAGAAGTAATGGTGGCGGTGGTTGAGTCCTGGATTCTTTATGGTCACACAAGAAACTTGCTAGACTGTAATACACACCAGGAAGCTCCTGCTGATCGTTAAACAATTAGTTCTCAGCAAGCCCATGCGTTAAATGATTGCTGACCCATGCACAGCCAAACACTCTTTATTTTTGTCGGTGCCACGAGGGCAGGATAGGAACACATTGTTTTCCACTGGGGTCACACCAAAAGGCCCACACTCAGTTTGTTGTGTGCTTCTTCCACCCTAGGGGGTAGGGGCTGATGGCCTATCTCATTGCAGTGTTAGCCAAGGAGTCAGCAGAAGTGGCTGAAGACCTGATCCAGCTGAAAGTGGTACATGGCCTGATGGTTGCTGTGGGGAACCTGGACCACGTGGCTAGCCAGAGACAGGCCAGCATCTCCCTGGAGGTGAGCATGGAGGTACACAGCAGCACAAACCTGATCTTCTATGACAGAGCGACCTGCTTATTGGATGAGGGAAAGGCTGTGGATGTAATTTACCTTGACTTCAGCAAGGCTTTTGACACCGTTTCTCACAGCATTCTCCTGGTAAAAATGGCTGCTCAAGGTTTGGACAATCGCAGACATCACTGAGTAAAAAACTGGCTGGACAACCGGGCCCAGAGAGTTGTGATAAACAGTTAAATCCATCTGGCAGCCAGTCACGAGTGGTGTCCCCCAGGGCTCGGTTTTGGGGCCACTTCTGTTTAACATCTTTATTGATGATCTAGACGAGGGGATCGAGTGCCCCCTCAGTCAGTTTGCAGAGGACACCCAGTTGGGTGGGAGTGTTGATCTGCTCGAGGGCAGGGAGGCTCTGCAGAGAGACCTGGACAGGCTGGAGCCATGGGCTGAGCCCAACTGGGGGAGTTTCCATAAGGCCAAATGCCGGGGGCTGCCCTTGGGCCACAACAACCCCCAGCAGCGCTACAGGCTTGGGGAGGAGTGGCTGGAGAGCTGCCAGTCAGAGGGGGACCTGGGGGTGTTGACTGACAGCCGGCTGAACAGGAGCCAGCAGTGTGCCCAGGGGGCCAAGAAGGCCAATGGCATCCTGGCTTGTGTCAGCAATAGCGTGGCCAGCAGGGACAGGGGAGGGATCTGACCCCTGTACTCGGCACTGGTGAGGCCGCACCTCGATTGCTGTGTTCAGTTTTGGGCCCCTCACTACAAAAAGGACATTGAATGACTCGAGCGTGTCCAGAGAAGGGCAACGGAGCTGGTGCAGGGTCTGGAACACATGTCCTATGAGGAGTGGCTGAGGGAACTGGGATTGTTTAGTCTGGAGAAGAGGAGGCTGAGGGGAGACCTTACCACCCTCTACAGCTACCTGAAAGGAGGGTGCAGAGAGCTGGGGATGAGCCTCTCTAGCCTAGTAGAAAGCAACAGGACAAGAGGCCTCAAGTTGCACCAGGGAAAGTTCAGATTAGATATTAGGAAGCATTTCTTTCCAGAACGGGTTTTTGGGCATTGGAATGGGCTGCCCAGGGAGGTGGTGGAGTCCCCATCCCTGGAGGGGTTTAAGAGTAGGGTCAATTTAGAGCTTAAGGATATGCTGTAGGTGGGAACTGTGCTAGGCGAACGGTTGGACTAGAACTCCAGGGTCCTTTCCAACCTAGATGATTCTGTGATTCTGTGTATGTCATAGCATGGGGGCTGCTCCCAGAGCACCTGAGCAGAAAGTCTCCTTACACCATGGGGTTTCTTCCCTAAGCATAGCAGACACAGGCTTAGTCAAAAAGGCAGAAGTGACATTTTCTTCAGGAAAGAGCTCTCTTTCCACTCCTATCTGCCTCCCTCCTGCCACTCACAGGTGTTGGCCCTCACACCTCTCTTCTACCCCTAGGCTCTCTGTGGGTAGCAAGCACAGACAGAGCAAAGGGGCTAACCAAGACAACGTGCCTGGAGCAAGACACCAGCACAGAATTATAGGCAGGTTATTTTTTCCTGCTGGTGCCAGGTAAAGAGTTTTGGCCTGCCTCAGCACAGCGCTGCCTGTAGAACAGCCACAGGGGAGGACCGTGTCAGCAAGATGAGAAGGGCTGAATGAACAATGGCAGAGCAGCAGTCTGCTCAGGGTGAAAGAGGGTTTGCAAGCCTACCTGGCACTGCCGAGGGTCAGGGCACCCTTCCTCTGAGCGGGCACCAAGAGCAGAGCAGGGTGAACTCCCTGGCAACTACTGCACTGGAACACCCCCCCTTCCTCTTGACAACGAAGGTGGGAACTGGCACAGGGGGAAAGCAGAGGGAAACAAGGTGAGGCTTGAACAGGGACCCACAAGTTCCTCTTGGTGTATTCATGAAGCGCCAGCAGTAGCACCAGCACTAAAGGTGGTGGGTCAGGGATTTCCTGGTGTGTGACACAGGTTATCTAGAGCCACATCACCCCTGCAGCTCTACCCTCTATACACCCACTCACATCTTATCCCAACTCTCTGTTCTGTTGCAGTATTTTGTCCACATGTTTCCCTTTGTGGAGGAGTGTATAAAGAAGGCAATAGGACACACACTGTTCCAGTGCTTCATGGTAAATATGCCTCCCTTATAGGATTTATTAGTGGCCCAAGGACCTTAGACTGTTTTGCGGATGTAGGGACTGTATTTCTTTTCACAAGAAATCCAGCCTTGCCTGAGAGCCCAGAAATAAACCAAGCTACCCTTTGAGAAGTGTTCACCTCAGTCTGAGTGTTCAGGAAGATAAGTGCTCTGACTCAGCCCCAAGACAGGGGAAGGAGGGATCACAGATAATTGCTATTTCTGCAACATTGGGAACTTGATGTCAGAAGTGTGAGCTGAAGGGCCAGTGAGGTAAGATCCTAACTCTTTTTCTGCCTTTTCCAGGACAGTCCTGAGACCTGGTACACAGAAATGGATCCAGTCCAGGCTGAAGAGCTGGCCTCCAAAACAGTAGACATCCCCAGAGACATGGCAAGGATGCAGTCTGCAGGTATGTGCAGAAATAGGGGCACAGTCACTTAAATTTCACTTTCAGGAGAGAAGGCAGCTCAGGAAGCAGGAAACCAGGGTGGGCATTTAGGGAAAAAGAGAGTAACAGTAGAAGAATTCCTTTGTAATTTGATATTTGTATAGCTGCATCCTGTGTTGCTGGACCCAGAGCTCACAGGGCTGTTTTGTCCTTTCAGAGACAAACCCTGGAGTGAGCTGAACAAACAAAACAGAGGACAGCAGCACATGCCTCCCATCTGTCCTCCCCCCTCCCCACCTGCTCCTTCCCAGAGGACAGGTTGTATGGGGCCACCTGGACCCAGATTGCACACAAAGGCCATAGCAGCACCTTGCTGCACCTGAGCCAGTGGCCAGCTTTGTACTCTTGCCCTCGAACACAGATTTTGGTGGGCTACTGAATATGTGTATTTTATGTGGCATGTTAACCAGGGGAAATATATGGGGAAAAATGTGAAGTAACATCCTGGGGTTACCGTCAAAGCCTAAGTAAACTTCAGTAGTACAAGGAACTCTCACGTGGCCCCTCCTACATATCTGATGGCATAAGAGCTGAGACACTACAGGCTGAGCTTTGCTCATGTGTGGGATAGGTACCCTCTAAACCAGGTTTCCCTTTGCTAGGCAAGTTCTACCCAGCAGAATCTCAAAATTAAGAGACAATTTAGAGTGATTTTATGTAACCATTACAAGTGTAAAGACTTTCAAAAACTTTATCCAAGAAATCAGCCTATCTCTACAAAACTAGTCAGTCTTTAGATTTTACCAAAATCAGAAAGAAATATATTTTGTAAGATAGAATTAAATCCAGGAACATTTATTTATCAAACTTCTTAAAATACTGATTTTTTACAATTACATATAGTCCACATTCTTTCTAGAAAAGCCAAACTTGCAACAGCATTGCAAAGTTTTAAGCACATCTGGAAAGGTTTTATGTACACTAGAAAATTATACATGTATATCTATTTCTATTTTAAGAGACCACTGTCACTAGCAAAGTGACACATCTAGCACTTTCAGGCCCCCTCCCCAAGCCTTGCAGAGGGTGTTTCTAGCACTCTCTATTGAGTACTCTGGCCAGGAAGAGAGAGGCTGCCACATTCACTGCCCTCAGGCACGCATAACCCACACTACCACATTTAAAACAGGAGTTACACAAACCACTGAAAAACATGCAAGACATACAGAAGACTGCTTGTCAACCAGGTTTTGCTATATTTCCTAAGGCCTCTGCCATCTCATCTGCTTGCTGGCTTGCTCCTCCAGTTGCATGGCTGCCCCCAGGGCGTCCAACGTTTCTGTAAAAGACACAGTGACTGGGTGACTGACCTGGAAGCTGAACTCAGCCCAGCTCTTCCCCATAGCAGCTCAGCAAAGGCCACAGAAGAAAGTGAGCTGGGCAAGGACTGCTCAGCCACCATCAAATCTTTCCTGGTCCCACAAAGCTCTTCAGCTGTACTTGTTCATTTCTACTCTTCAACAGTTTCAAGCCTGCAGTTCAAACTAGATGCCACTAACCCAACCATCCCAGAGGGCCAGCTTTCCCTGGCCGGTAAGGCAAAGAGGGTAGCTGGGCATTTACTCTTCTTATCTTGTCACCACTGCTACATGGTGAATGGAGGGATACCACTCTTGGGCTGCATTTGAAATGCAAGGACAGCCAGGTCTGTTGAAGAAAATTCACTAGTTCAGGTTAACACTTCATTTGGATGCCACAATTTTCAGCCTCATTAAAAGAAAAACCCTCACACCCCTGTTTTTGAGGGAAAGACTGTGGCAGCTGTAACAGCTGAAGTGGCAAAGCTATTGCAACAGTGGCAGAAAAGTAGCAGTTACCATTGTAGCTTCCCCCATCCTAGCCAGGCAGCCTATGCACTTGGCACTCTGTTACCATGTGTCAACCAAACTGGTACATCTGCCTGGCTGCCTCTCTACCACCGCTTCAACCAGCACAGTCCAAAGTCAGACAGCTCTCAGGGAACAGGCAGCTGACATCCTCCTGCACAGAGCTGGTAAGTCTCTAAAGCGGGTCAGAACTGAACAGTTGGAGGGATTTTGTTGCACATCACATAATGCCCTATACTAAGGCAAAGGCATACAAATGCAGGTGCTGGCAGACACAGCATCTCAGTATATGCCTGACAGACACTTGTAAGTGGATGAGTGTTAAGGCCTGATATCTGTGAAAACAGGAGTGGAAACTGTGGGCATACCCCTATGAATGCCTAGAACATATTTCTCAGTCTGTTCTTTGGGCAAGACAAAAGGTAAACTATATAACTGACTAGCCAAACAGACTTCAGCTCATCTGCTCTTGGTGGATATTGCATTCTGCTCAAGGGAATGGAGTTTTATATGGCAGCACAAAGCCAGTGGAAGTTACTAGCCAAAATTTTACTTTAGAAAGTGCAGACAGTAGGACATTTCAGCTCTGTCCCTATGATCATCTAACAAAGCAACCCAAACCATAAGCTATGCAGAGGAGGACTGGGTGCTCAAACCCCCACAGGTATGCTGGTGTCACTTTCAGGTCATTGAAAAAAAAGATTTGTGACAGTGCTAGTCAGAGACAGGCACTAACATACCTCTGACACTAAGGACGTTTCTTGAGCTCTCCTCTACGAAGTGCTTCGTTCTGCTCACAAAGGTCTCAAGATCATAGTCTGGTTTCTCTGTGATCCCCAAGAGGTAGTCAAGTTTAGTCGTCATTCTCTATATTTACAAGGATAACAGCAATGAGAACTTGACTTTCTAGAAATTCAATTGGTTTTTTTTCAAGTCTGGTACATCAATCAGAGCTGAGCTTCTGCAGAGCAGTACCAGTCAGTGCTCATTAGCAGCAAGTAGAGGTTGTTAGTTGGAGGGCAAGGGGGACCAGCTGGCCACAAACACTGAAATGCTCCAGTTTAACCAGTTGGGCAGGAAACTGCAGAAAAAACTTGTCAGTGAGGAAAAAAAATAACACCACTGACAGCATCTTGCAGTACAGCCCACAGCCTACCCAGCAGCACTCAGCTTAGATAAGGCAACAAGCTATCAACATGTAGAAGGCAGCCTGGGCTGGGCTTGCCTCTTCCATGTACCTGTCTCAGTTCTCTAAGCTGTTCTACAATCTTCTCCTCCAATTCATTAATTTGAGTCGTAGCCTCATGCAAGTTGAGCATGTGGGGAGAGATATCTTCTTCCTCATCCTTGGAGAGCTGCAAGAAACAACCCAAGTAAGAACAGCAAGCTGTTCCCAGCTTTGAGATCTGTTTAGCCCACTCCACACACATACACTGTGACCTGAGCCTTCTCTGCTGGTCTCTGTTTCTTCATTCTCAGTCTCCATCTGATTTTGTGCTTCACCACCTCCATTATGAGGGCTGAGCTCTTTCACTCTGCAACAAGAAGAAAGGGAAGAAAAAACTGAGGGATGTTTGCCTCCATGCCCAATCTAGGACCTCTCCTGGAGTAAAATGTCCAAGTACACAATGCTAATTGCCAGCCACACCTTTCACAGAAGCTGTCTGCCACATGTCAGCTGGGTCTGCCATGACCAACTAAGAGAACTTAGTATGGAAACAAAAGGAATAAGGTTGATTCTCCTCAAAGACCCACTGTGCCAGAATAGGTCTATAAGGATGAAAGCCATGGCTGATGACATGGTACTAGAGGTAGATGTCATATCAGCTGGGCATTTCATTCCAGTTACTAGCATCAGCTTTCTTTTTCCCTTTTCCTTTCCTCAGACTGTGAGTTTCAGCCCAATACACCCCTTAACTTGAACTTGCCTTGTGCATTGGCTAAGAACCCAACTCAAGGCTAGACTCTTAGTCTAGTCATGCTAAATCAGATGTTGCATTTTGTCCCATACTTCCAGGTGAGCAGGAATGACCATCCACCAGAAGAAAGAAATGTATCTTCAATCCAGAACCAAATCTGGGAATCTGTCAAGATTCAATGTTCCTGAATGCTTATGACAAGAATTAGACATCCTTTCAGAGAGTTGAACAGTTTCCAGGAAGGAACCAAGCAGTCTTTTGTGAACTAAATGAAGGAAAGCTACCAATCATGAAGTGTGCAAGTGTCATCTTGTTAACATACGACAAAGTCACAGTCTTTTTACTTGTCACCTCACCAGAGAGGTGTAGAGGCATGTGAAATAAAGACTGGGAGACACTCACTGCTCTGTTACAGGGGTTCCAGGGATCAGCAAGACCCCCAGGGAAACCTGGGGCTCAGTCCCTGCAAATCTACCTTGCTCTGCAGGTATCCAAGGTCAGCCATGGGGCAACTCAAAACATACCCCCACTATCTGCTTCGAGACATTTGAGTTCTCTGGGTCCTTCAGACTTTGCCCAAAGTCTCCAAGGCACCATACCCTATTGTCTCATATCAAAATCCATCAAGAACACCAAGTGTTTTATGCCACCTGTAGAGCTGTGCGAGGGACTCATTCCCAGAACACCCTTCCAGATGCAACCCAAAGTACTCCAAAAAGTAAAGGGCATGGAAGTAGCCATTCAGAACAGGGTAAACTCCCTACAAAAAAAACAGGGCATTCCAAAGTCTAGCATGAAACATAACTCCTCTGAGGAAAGTAGACATAAGTCATGGTTTTATACAATCCCAGTTATGTCTCACACAAACACCCAGGTTAGTTTCATAAGACAGCTCTAAGATAATTTGCTCCTAACAACCAACCTCCAAATTGCAATAACAAGAGAACTTAATATTCTAAATGTCAGAATAAAAGTAGCCAGAACACCTTCTGCAACAAAAGTAGAATCCCCAGGTCAGAAAGGCCATTACCTGTCAGCGTATCTCAGTGTGTTTAAGGTGTATTCACATGAACTCATGCCTGGAGAAATCATTGCTATCTGCAAACAGAACAAAATACCTTGGTGACTCCCACATCTGACTTTTGCTCATGTCAATGGTCCTGCAGATCTAACCAGGCAGCTGGGACATGTTAGAGGAATGGTCAGAACTGAAACAACTGCCAAGTCTATTCTTCTTCACAGCTTCTGTGGGACATGTCAGTGGCCCTGTATCCAGCTTTTTGCTGGCTTTGTGTACAACCACTGGGCCACACCCTCTGCAGGAAGCAAAGCCCTTTGAGAGCACACCAGGCTCTATTGTAGGTTCACTGTATGAAGGTGACCTCTGCAGCCCTGCTTCTGCTGGGGCTGGGCAAAACTTGCCAGCTTTTGAACTGTCACCATGGGCAAGTGGAGGAGGAAACTGTATGACTTTTGTACAGAACTGAAGCTTTCTGACTTCAAAGTCCTCTCACTCTAGAAGTACATGCAGCTATTTGGTCACACTGCAGAACCCATAAGCAGTGTGTTTGTGCTATGTGCATACTCACCATACAGGTCCTTGAGTTTGTTCCTATGAAAGAGTCTCTTAGCACCTGGGTCAGCTTGCTCTCCCGGAAAGGGGTATGAGATTTGTTCTGCCCTAAAGCTCGGATACATTCCTAAAAAAAAGATAAGTCTTGTGAATGCAAGATCTGTATCTCTTCTCAAACAGCTCTGCAAGCTATCAACCACCAATTGCTGGTAAACCTAGCAGGCTGGAGAATGGTCATCTCTGTTGCTCTAAGTACTTCATAGCCTTTTAAATATACTCCAGGTATTTGACTCTCACAGGGTAGCTAGTATATCCATCATACGTAAAAAAAGACAACCTGAATGAAGCTTAAAATGGCCTGACAAGACTGCACTGCTTTCCTAGAAATATTCTAAATGGAAGTAGACACCATTTTCAGGGTTAACATACTAAACTAGGATCTTTTTGGCTGTTCCTTTCCCTTGTACTCTAAAGAAACAGAATAGATAAGCCAAGAGTTGAACAGAGTCCATGTGTTGATTAGCACTATTTTCTCCTGGAGCTATAGCTCACCTTCAAAGCCAGCAAGCTCTTATTGATTTCTGCACCTTCCATCCGTGTCTGCCGATCAGCACTAGATGTGTCTGCACCCCTCTCATTTCCTGCCAGATCCACCAAGGAAAATTTGCCAGACAGTTTACCTCTTCGGCGTAGTATGATTTGGAAGCAGGCATGTGACCGTGAAGAGCTAGCATTTGCAAAAGTCTGCCCAGATGTCCTACAGCAAAGATGAAAACAAGCATTAGAACTGCATCACAGAAGATACAACAGGTCCCAACAGCACTAGGTAAGATCTGCATCCACTCAGTTGTTTAACCTCCCCAGTTTTATCCCACATGTTAATACCTCAAGCTTGCATGAATTACGGAATTACCTCTGATAAGACTACAGAAAGACTGCTGTGAGAAACATGAACCTGCACCCCAGTTGTAGAGATTTAAGGCTATTTAATCTGCCTGGCTCAACTCAGACAGCCTACACTGGAATGCCTTTCTGACTGATAACATTTTACATGCATTTGGAGCTGGAAGACATGGCTTCAGCACTGCATCTCCCTGCCTCAGAGCAGGCCACATGTCATTCTCCTAATGCATCTGCCATTACACAGTAGGCTCAGCCAAGCTCCCCACTAAAGAGCATTAGCTGTGTTGGCACATTACAGCCACAGTAAATCCCCTTCTCCAGCCAAGCTAGCTCAGCACTTTACCTCTGCTGTGCAACTGCACCTGCCCCATCACTGCAAGACACAGACTGGAGTCTTAGAAGTTACCATAAACCTCCCTCTGACCTTCACTATCCTTTATTTCCTGAGAAGGCTGGCAGGTTCACTGTCCCACTTGCATCCCTACTGCTGGGGGAAAGGGAGGGAGGTTGTCCTAAAGTGAGGCAGGAATCTGAAATGTTAAATAGTTCTTGGCTGAATGGTCAGACAAAAAAGCGTGCACAGCAAAGTGCTGAATGAGCTTTTGGGATGTGCATATCTGTGCATGCAGTGTAATCCAGAAGCCAGGGAGTTCTCATTTTCCTAGGGTTGTTTCCATAGCAGTTGCAACTTAACTGAGACAGATAAGACTTGCTAATACAGATTTTAGCTCCTGATTAAAGGCACCAGTACAATAGTAGAGTTGCCCTGACCACAGCCTTCCTGACAGGGTGATGAGCCCTGACTACATCTCTCCCTTAGCACCTGCTTTCCAGGATTCTTCAGACAAGATCCAAGTGATATGCAGCATTTTTGTTGCCAGTGGAATAGCTCATCTGGCCTGCACTTAAGTCAAAGCATTTTTGCAACTACAGGTTGATGCCAGCTGCTCTTCCTTGATCTTACAAGCCCATGGGGAACTACTTGTGCTCCTGTAAACTAGCTTATACTTCTAGAAAGCAGCTAGACTGCTCTGTTTAGCTGTGGCACCAGGGCATCCATCTTCATGTGAATAATTTCTCTCTTCCTGGAGTTACATGAGGACATTTAAACCATGAACTCTGACCTTCTCTATGGAAGGCAGGGTAAACCAATCCCTGCTAGTCCTTTATTCTGTAACCATCATCTTGTACTTATACAGAGGTGCTGCTCAGTGACTGCCTATTATTGGGGACAACAAGCTTCTGTTTAAGTCTAAAAGCACCAGCTACATGCATTACATATTTTTTCTAGATATGGAGATACAACAGAACTTGGTTTTAAGGCACCAAACCTGCAGGCACTGCCCATCTCAATCATTCTGATGACATCCTCAGCGCAGCTGACTTGTCTCTCTTGGAGACCAACAACCTGGACCTGCTGCTTGCCATCCTCCAGGACTCGAAGCTTTGTCTTCTTATTCAAGAGGTCAAACACCTATATTCAGGCAACAAGATTGAGACAAATCTGAACAAAGTCTCCTTGTATTTTGCACTATCTTTTTAAAAAGCCATGTAGAATCAGCACATTTAACATAGCCTTCCAATTCAATTCCAAACAATAGACTATACAGAACTACAGAACTATAGAAACTAGAAAGTTTCACTCAGCTACTTACAAAACATTCAAAGTAGTCAGGTCAAGATTTAAAAGAAAAAAAACAAATCAAATATTACCTTTCCATTGTATATTTCAAAGAAAGTCACGTAGACTTCCAGGTCTTGATTCCTGTACCTGGGCTGGTTTAGGAGGAGGAAAACATCTTGTGCTATGAGAAAAGGCAGAAGTTTAGTTAAGTAGTTTAAACCATGTTCTAGTTGCTACTTGATCTACTTTGAAATATTGTGCAGCCATAAGGCAGTGTCTAGCAGCTGAATGACAATCATCCTAAACAAATGCTAGTGAAACAGTTAGTGCTGTGCTACCATCTGGAGAACAGTTCCAGCAGCATCCTCATCCAGGGACTGAAAACACAGGGGGATATGGAAGTTTCTACTGCTAATGTCACCCACAGACATCAATCCTTACTGAGTGGGGAGAACACTGGGATCTGATATTTGTTTGGACAGGCCTAAAAAAAAAAAAATATGTATTTGTGTTTCAAGCACTTCTTGTGGAAAGTCTAGAAAACATGCATCCCTAAGCATCTGCATTGCTGCTGTTTGGCTGACCCTTTGACTGGATCCAGTACAGCTTTATGCAGTTAGGCTTCAGACTTTTGAAGTGAAGCTGAAAAGCAAAGACTTTCCTTCAGGGCGAGTCATAACTAATTCTCAGAGACCAGCAAACAGTTGGTTTTCTTTCAACTGCCTCGCTACACTGACTAGTTTCACAATCTGCCTTTCTAAAGGGAAGGTCAAGGAGGTCAGGTTTCATGGTGCTTTCTAGGCATTATATCAAGGAGGGGCTTCTAAGCATCTGAAATAATTTTGTATGTGCTAGATTTTTTGCATCTAATGCTTACAGGAAGCAACATAACACATACATTCCTATGCTTTCTGTATAGCAAGCTTTATATAAGAAATGGGTAGCATTCAAGTCAGGTATTTCCAAACACCATCCTTAGTCTGAGACAAAAACAAAGCAGAAGAATCAAAATTAAATGATTCAGCCCAT